ATGGGGCATGCAGCGGCAGCCCCTTCAGCGTGAATGGAGGCCGTGCGCGCAGCGTTTACAAGTAGTCTGCACACAACACCAAACTACCCTGTGCGTGCAACTCCACTCGCCACGCACGCACCCCGCCCTTACTTGGCCCCACCTGCTCCCCTGTGCCCTCCCAACTCTGGCACAATTCCGTGCTAACTACTTTTTGTTTTCTCTCACTGCTCCCAGGTCCATACCAGTATTTCTCAGACATATCCCTTCCCAAGAACAGATATGGCACCGGCTCCAACAAGGCCTCTGGCAAGGCGACCTCCGCAAATGGTGGTCGCGGCCTGAACGTCCTGCTTGTGAACGGGTGCGACGCCTGCTGCTGCTGCTGCTGCTGCTGCTGCTGCTGCTGCTGCTGCTGCTGCTGCTGCTGCTGCTACTGCTGCAGAAGATATCACCCATTTGTGAGGTCAAGCAAGAATCTCAACATTTTTGTACAAACCCATGGTTGGCTGAGCACTGCTCCTCTTTTATTCGTGATGGCAAACAGGCAACTGATGGCATGTCGTACAGGACTTCCTGATTGCCCACCACTCTACGTTCATTCCCTCGTTGACACAGGGGCTACCAGCCAATTGTCACAATGCCTTCAGGCGTGTGGCAGCGCTGGCGCATGCTTTTCAGTGGCGTCAAGGTGCGCCTGCGCTAGATCCAACCGCCAAATGTGCGACTATTGCGGGCCTGGATCCGCGCACAGTCGGGAAAGATAGGTCGCGCTTCGGGCTTGCTAATGGCTCTAAGAATGGTCTGCATGCAGGATGCTTGCGCAAGCGTCCTTTCTCTGAAGCGCATGGCGCATGCACGCGTTGGCCTGCACCCACATGTGCCCAGGGCTTCTTTGTGCTCTCAATATTTGACGAGACGACCAAGAACGCAACATCCGCTTGTGAAATGATGCTGTACGCAAAGGCAAGTGCATCCAGTGTCCACACATATGGCAAGGCGGATGCAGTGATTACGAGTGCACTGAGCCGTAGTAGACATGCATGCTGAAGTAGTCTGCATCATATCAGAGGCCAACAGCGGGCCAGGCCAGCATTGCTCTAGCCCTGCATGCCCTTGCCAACGGCGCTCGCCGCACGATACTCTGCTGATGTCAGCAATGGTATGAAATCCCTGCACCACCCCGCGATGGCCCCAAATGATTTGCAGGATGGAGTGTATATAATGAACCTCCCCAGAAAAATTGATGGCGTTTTCCTTGCCGCTGCAAATCGGGCTGAGGTGCGCTGACATTTGTGGTTATTTTGCAGCTGGCCCATGTGTGGTTGGGTTGTTGAGGCTACCAGGGTTGCTTGCAATACCTTGAAGTTATCTCAGCATGCGTGAAATAATGCAGCCACCCGCATGTCCAACCTCGAGCAAGCATGCCACCAATACATAATTGCACCCCCCAACAACCCTCTGGCTCATGGTGCAGGTGCTCGTCCGCTGCAGCGGGACCCCAGGGCAGAAGTTCGTCGCCACGTCGCGCACTTGCCGGCCATTCTCCACTGACTGCTTTGGCTACTTGGGCGACAAGATCCCGGTTGATCGCTTCAACCACATCGGCCCAATGTTCCAAGACATCATCTGGACAATCCAAATCACGGCCCCACCAGTGCTGCCCCCGCTTTCGCCGCTGATACTGCCGATTGCCGAGCGTGCATGCACGCCTAGACGAGCAAGCTATGCGGCGGACCTGCGCAACCCAGCGCTGGTCAAAGCGGGTTTTGACCCCACAAACGTCTATTCCTACGGCATTGGATATGGCGGCCTCAGTTTGAACGACACGCTCGACCCACCACAGGCGTATTTTTATGGTGTGTCCCAGGGCCACAAGGACTGCCTGGCCGGTTGTGTTCCTGTGTTTGTTGAAGCGCATGAATGCAAGCAACTTCAGATCACATGCACACGCCCAGTCCTCATTCAGCTTGGAACTCTTTATCGTCAACCAACCACTGATCCCTGGGGCCTCACACTTGTGCACCACAGCTTGCGCCTACAACAATGGCTCGGAGACAGCTGAAGGAACGCGGTTCCAGTTCCCTGACCCAGAGCCGTTGGTGCTGGAGCTGGGGAAGGTTGTCCAATGGAATTTCTATGATCTGGACTTCCACCCCATGGTGAGATAAAGGCAACAGCTCGCTCGCCTGCATTCTGAGTGTGTACGTGCACCTCATACATGACAGCACCTGCAACCACACTCACCGCTCAGCACGCCCATCAACTAGCAGCCGCCATGTGCTGACACATGTGTCTTACTCCCGTCTGTCCTCGTGCCCTTTCCCAACATACTCGCAGCACATTCACATCAACCCGTTCCAGATTCAGGGGCTCAACAACACCTGGCTTTTCAAAAACAGCTCGTGGACCCCATACTTTGAGGTATTGAGATAGGTTGTGGTGTTGCCAGGCGTCAACATTGGGTACGCACCTGACACAACTGCCATTGCTGCTAAAGATTGTCAATGCTTATGCCGCTGAGCTCCCACTCGCCGCGAATCGCAGGTTGGCGACTGGCATGATACCTTGAACCTCCCTATGATTGATCTCACAGTGAGTGCACTCACGTGACGCGCAAATGGTGATGTCAGCTGGTACGCTGACCAGTGCTGCTATGAATCCAGCACATTTGTGAACGCAGCTGCCCAAATCTGCCTCACCGTCCATGCCAAGGCGGCGCGTTGTCCCTTGTGTCTTCTGATCAACTGGCGCGTTATGTTGTTGCAGGCCGGTGTACGTGTTCCTCTGCGCTTCCAGCCTGGGCAGTACTCAGGGTACACCGTCACACATTGCCACTTCCTGCACCACGAGGTGAGTTGGCTTGCAAAGCACCACGGTGCGTGGAAGTACGCGCATCACTTGGTTTCAGCACTGAGCGATTGAGATAAAAAGGCATGCACCTGGCCTCTTGATATGATCTATGTGTCTTCTGTTATGCAGATGATTGATACCACAACCTGCGCAGGGTGACGGCAAGATTTCCAATTTAATAGACTAAAAATTTAATATGATTGAAGTACAGCAAACCATACTCATCATTACCGGATTGCCGCGTGTACATTGAACCTCATATTCACAACACATACCCACCTCTTCTTATCCTCAGGACGTTGGATGTATGAAGGTTGTTCTGTTCAAGTGCCCCACCCTTGCAGAGGACAACCAGGGTGGCCCTTGCCCCAATTTCAAGTTCCCCGTCCCTGGCACTGTTCCAGACGTATCTGATTGATGCTTTGAACGCAGTCGAGGCACTGGTGAAGCCCAGCAGCAGCAGCAGCAGCATCAGCAGCAGCAGCAGCAGCAGCAGCAGCAGCAGCAGCAGCAGGAGCAGCAGGAGCAGCAGCAGCCGCAGCCTTTTGTTTTGCCTTCAACACACATGGGCGCTCACGTGCCTGCGCTGCTGCTCGCTCTCCTCCCTTCGCGGTGTCGCCCACCCCGCATACAACACCCCCCCATCGCCCCCATTGCGACGACCTGTGCCTTGATGAACCGGCTGAACGTGCTTTGCTTGATTATCCTGCATACGCGGGCCTGTGTGTCGCGTCGCGCTTTGCACCCCTGTTCACGAGCTTGCCTGCACATTCCCGCCGCAATTTGGGTGAAGGGGCTCCGCAACATGTGTTGGTTGAGGGGCTGCGCGTTGGAGAGGCTCCCCAAACGAATGTACTCGTGGTGGAGTAATTCATTATTCACAGTGCGGAGGTTTATGTGTGGGAACACAGTGATTAACCAACATGACTGTGCGTGGTGTGTAAATGACGAGCGACGCTTTGGCTTTTGACCAATTGCAGCGGACTTGATACTGCCTGCCTCTCTGCATAATATATTCGCACAACCTATAATGATATCATACAACCTCATGGTATGATATATGCGAGCATTGCACGCTTACCATGATTGGCGCGCTCAAACCTGCTCGAGTGATGACACCCTCTCATAATCCTCCATGACTGATATGGTCGCAGTGTCATCTGCACCGTAGCAACGCCGCCCCTTTCGCTATTCGCCACTGCTTTGCCTCTCTGAGGCACACTCATACAATACCCAAGTTGCACATATATGCACGATGCAACTCCCAGGGCATATGCTGCCCTATCCAGCCCCGGGAGGCTGGCGGGAAGCTGTGCACGCGCACGCATACCTGCTCTGAACGGCACACAGTGGCCGCTTGAATCCCAGGCACACAACGCTTGTGCTGCAAAGTCAAATTTCATGAGCCTGGATGGTCCCAGGAGTGGGCGACTGCGGCATCCTGTAATATCCTAATCCCTCATCCTGTGTTACAGAACGTCAGATGCAGACCATCTGACCAGTCATTGAGATCGAAAATCTGGCAGACACACATGTACTAGGCAGGGCTGCAGCTGCGTGAAACCCTGGGAAACCGCCAGTACCCGAGCCACAACACCGCAACCCTTCACCCAACCTCAAAGTCGTTTGGGGCAGAGGAGGGGGGAGCCCCGTACCACGCACAAAAGTGGGGACCCATGCACAACACGCAAGCGATCAAACAACGGCATGGGGCACGCCAACCCGCAAAACCCGCGCCCCAGCACGCCCCCCCCAGCACGCCAACCCGCGTCGTTGGCCATCCAAAACAATCACGAGCGCGGCTGCCCAGAAAACTGCACCCAGCAGCCGTCCGCGCCGACCTCCCAATCTCTTGGCAGCCCAGTCTGCCCCAGCAGATCCACCCAGGCCGTTGGGGGCGCCGCAGGAAGCTGGCGGGAAGCCGGCTGCTGCATGTCACGCGGCCGGCGCACGGGCCGCCACGCGGCACGCGCCGCATCCCAGCCCACGCGCGTAGCGGCCCCCGGCCGCGGCGCGGCGCGCGCATTCCCAGCCAAGTGCTCAAGGCCCGCCTGCTGCCGCAGCATCTCTGCAAGCCTCAAAGAGGCGCTGCGACCGTGTCGCAGCGAGTGAGCGCATGCCAGGGGGCCAAACTGCTTGCATGCTGCTGCACATGACTGCCCAGTAAGCTAGGGAGCCTGAGTCTTGCCGCGAGAGTCCTCCAGGCTGCCCTCTGGCCCGCCCGGCAGCGACATCCCCAACTCCAGCAGCGCCGCCTGCAGCTCATCGATCGCCTCGTCATCATCATCGCCGTCATCCCCACCATACGCACCGCCGCCGCCGCCGCCGCCGCCGCCGCTGTCTGAACCCTCCTCTGCCGCCGCGCCGCCGTGCGGCTGCGTCGCCCCTGCTTCGTCACCGTCGCCGCCGTCCCCACCGCGCGCGGTTTCGGGCGCGAAAGGCGGGGAGTCGGACAGCCACGGCAGGCCGGGGAAGCGGCGGCGGAACAGCGCCTCCGCCGCTGACAGCACCGAAGAGTAGCCAGCCAGACGCCCGTCGGGGCCGGGGCACGCGACAACGCCTCTCAATGCTGCCGTGGCCCCGCCGCCTCGGCCGGCGTCACCGCTGCCTCCAGGCGGCCCAGTGTCTTCGAATGCGTCCGTGGCCGCCGAGTCCAGCCGCTGTGTATAGTATGCGACCGCGAGCGCTGCCGGCCGCCGCGGCCCCGCAGCCGGCGCTGAATCGCCGCTCGTGCCCGGCGCCGCCGCCTCGTCTGCCCCGCCCCCGGCCCCCACTCGCCGCAGACCATCCGTCAGCGTCAGCGCCTCCACCACCGGCCGCAGCAGCTGCTCGGCAGCCGGCGCGCCAGCTGGCAGGCCCGAGGAAGCTGCTGCCGCGGCGGCGCCAGCAGGCAGGAGGGCTGACAAATACAGCAGGAACCTGCCTTGCGGCGCCACCTGCAGCGCCGGCCCCAGCATCAGCCCGCGCACCACACAGTTGCGCCGCCACCCGCCGCCGCCGTCGCCGCTGTCCGCGAAGCCGCCCGGCGGCGCGACGAGCAGCAGCGAGCCCTCCCCTTCCCGCAGCGGCCCGTCCAGAACGCACACCGCACGCGCGAACGCCGGCGCCACCGCCGCTGCCCCATTTCCCGCGCCGCCGCTGTGGCCCCCAAGTGCTGCGCCGCACGCCTGCGCGAGCTCGGGGCCCCCCACCACCCAATCTGTGCGGACCACCTGCCCTGTCCCAAGCACCACGCCCCTGCACCGCGGCCCCTCCGCCGCCGCCGCCGCCGCGCTCTGTGAGGCCGCCGCCGCGCCCTCCGCCGCCGTCGCCGCGGCCGCCGCGCCCCCCGGGGCAGCCGCCGCGCCCTCTGCCGCCGTTGCTGCCGCCGTTGCCGCGCCCTCTGGGCCCGCCGCCGCGCCCTCTGCCGCGGTTGCGGCTGCCGCCGCTGCGCTCTTTGGCGCCGTTGCGCCCTCTGGGGCCGCCGCCGCGCCCTCTGCCTCCTCGTCTTCCACCACCAGGCCCGCCAGGCCCATCCTCAGCACCGACACTGCCCCCTTGACGGCCGCCAGCCGCACAAACGCCTCCAGCAGCGCGCCCGCGCCGTAGCACGGCGCCATGAACGCGCCGCGCCCGCCGTAGCGGCCGAGGGACTCCGTGTACAGCCGCAGCGCCGCCAGGCCCTCGGCTGCGCTCAGCGGCGCGGGTGCGCCGTCGCCTCCTGCGGGGCGCCTGTCAGGGTCCGGGCCGCCGCTCGCTCCACCGTCTTCGGGCGGCTGCTGCTCCTCCTGCTGCTCCCCCTGCTGCTGCTGCTGCTGCTGCTGCTGCTGCTGCTGCTGCTGCTGCTGCTGCTTCGGCGGTGTGGACTGCGGCTGTGGCGCGTCGCACATTGCAATGCCGTGCGCCACAGCATCCCGCAGCTCCCGCCCCAGCCCCTGCTGCGCCAACAGCTGCGCCAGCGGGCGCGGCCCATATGCGTCCTGTGTGGCAGGATGACGCCGCGGGGCAAAGTTGAGGTTGATAAGGGTCGCCGCTGCCGCGTGCCGCCTGGAAGGCGACGAGTCGGTTGGATTGGAGGGTGACACGGGGGCGCCGGGGCGGCACCGCCGCGCCCCGCACTCCGCGCTTCGCGCCCCCCGTGCACTGCGGCCGCCGGGCCGCCCCACCCCCCTTCCGC